TATATATTTATAATTATGCCATTATAAATTATATACCAGATTTTGGTTAAATTTGCTTTGGACCCGCTGGATCGCTGCATATAAGGGATATGAATTTAATGAAATAATTAAATATACAGTATGCTGCTTGAAAGAGAAAAGCATGTCAGTAATACAAACCTCTTTCTGTCTTGCTGTCGGCCATGACGGAGTAATGCACAGAGACAGTCTGTTCTGGAAATGAAGGATGAAACCCATATTAACAGAGGTCACTTGGCAGTGACCAGTCTTGAAGCACTTGCATGAAATCTGTCATTCATTATACTGTTACCATGTTGACCTGAAACAAATAGACAGTGAGAGTCTTCGCAACTAGCAGATTATATATTATAACATATGTAAATGTCATAATATATAATTTAATTGTATTTTTAAAAGAACAAAATACACTAATGATATGAATAAAATAAGACTATATAGTTGTTTATAAATATAAATTAAAATATTTAAAAAGTATTAATCAAATGGCATGCGACATAAATACATTTATGAATAAATTCATATATTTTTACAGAACTATTACCTGGTGCATTAAGAAAATTCAACCACAGCGCTTTTTTTCTGGATGACATCGTAAATACACACGATGAAATATAAACAAAAGTATGTGAACACTGAGGAATATCTATATTAGCATCACCTGTCCTATTCCGGTGCTTGGGAACGACACATTCCATCCAGAGAAAGAGATACAGTAACGCTCAGTGCCATGTTAGATTAATAAAACAACGTGCTAAACTGTGAACACTTGGGAGTTTCACCTACAAAGCACTTCACCTGCTTACTGGTTATTGTTCCTTGATAGCAGATCCCAAAGGGCTCACTCTCCGCGCTCTTCTCCCCAGCGTCTCATCCAGGTAAATCACAGTTCCAGGTGTTCCTTGCGCCAACCAACCCTTGAGCTTCATGGATATGTTAGCGCACTTGTTGAATCCTGTCTCTCTTTCTCGCGCTTCTGTTTACCTCTGGATGTTGTGTTTAAGGATAAACTCCTCTCAAACCTCATTCTTTCCTGCTCTGTCTCCTCCCTCTCCCGACCTCCTCCCTCTCAAATGCGCGGCTGGGGAATTTGTGCAAATTCGCTCCAGGTAAAGGAGGGGGCTGGAACTCGATATGCAGCAGCACAGGTGGGAAAATAAGAGGAGGAGAGAAAAAACGACGGGAGTAATGTGAGAGAACAGGACAGGAAAGGGGAAGCAGTTTGTGTTTTAATGTATCTATGAAAAACAATAGGCCTAATATCTAGGTCCCATTAGATCCCATTCGAGAACGAAAGTATGTGGTGTAAATTAAGGGCCATTAAGCTGATTACGATCAATTCAAGAGAGTGCCAGTGCCACCACTAAGGACAGAGAAACGACATCGCTGGAAACACTTTCTCAACTGTGAATGATAAGAACATCGACAGCCAGCCAGAATCCACCCGACTTTACTGCAGCGCGTACAATAAACAGAACAATTATGTGGACGCTATCGTTATCTTTACAGTTATCGTTGGCCCGTTCACACCAGGAATGATAACTATAAAGATAACGATAAAGACAGGCTAGGTGTAAAAACCGTTCTCAATATTAAAGAATAGCAGAGTCCACACCACAAC